CATCATGGAAGAAGACTGTTCATAACCTCTTTAACTCCGTCGAGTGGCTAAGACAGAATTTCTCGTTACAATATCAGTACAATATCAAGCAGACAAGTGATGATTATCAGTTGGTCTAATACCAAATTCTCCAATCCAACATCATAAGAATTATATGGCAGACAGTAAGGAGAATTACCAATTAGATCTTAGGAGTAAAAAGGTTACTGAAAGAGTAACAGTAATTATAATGATAGTAATTTCTATCTGTTCGCTGCAGGGCGCCCCAGTACTCATCGATTCTCCAGTGGAAAGGAAGAGAGAGCTTATTTGATTTATAATTACAAACCAACTGATGTACAAGACTACTTGCTGGGGAGGGGCTAGGGTAAGAGTAGTAGAGCCTAAGATTCATCTCAAATGGAGTTTAAAATTAAGTCAGGTTCAGCTGGAACATTCACTGATTTCCTTTCATTATTTAAACTTCTGCACCTCACCTTTCTCCACCCTATTGAGGACAACTCATAAATGGATATTTTTGATTCATCACTGAGATCTCCGCCAATGGGAATGACTGATTTAAGAAACATCAAGGGGATCCCCTCAAAAACTTGTGAGCTGAAATTGGGATTTTGTCACTTACTGTGATCCTTTTTTTCTTCTAGAACAGACACATATAAAGTTGATCCAAATCGACCATATCCGAGGCTATAATCGAGAAAGTTACCTTTAAAGTCCACTACTGACAGAATTGCCTCGAAAGATCCGCGAAGCCAGCACATCACCCACTTTGCGCAATGCCTCTTGACATGATCTCCACACTTCGTTTTCTCCAGTAACGTTACATGGAGTAACGACATTTGTTGTTGTTTTTAATCGTTTGGTGTCGGACCAGATTTTTCGATGGCCAGAAAATTTTAGTTGTGTTTTTTTGGTTCAAATTCAGAGTAAATGGGTTACGAGTAATGACAAATTTAATGTATTGTTTTAAATTTAAAGTTATGTATTTTTTTGTAATTGTAATTGCTGCAAAGAGCCCTAGACTTGGAATATGTTGAACAGCCGTAAAAGAGCACGAAGGGCTGCCCCAAACGGGTAAAAGTTACCCACAACCGACCAACCGTGGAATCAATCACATGCAAACTAAATGAATTTTAAATGCTAAGACGGCATTCACGAAGATGATCA